TTTCCACCTCTCCAGAGTGTCTGTGTGGATATAAGTCATCTCTCTTACAGCACTCATAGACTCCATACTGTTGAGTTGCCTTTAAAGAGTGCCTTCTCTGACACTGACTGTCTTTGCCGCTTAAATGGGACTCCTGTAATCCCATTGACACACTGTGGGAGCTAAGCCTCAAAGGACTGAGCAGAGGACCTCAGGGCTTACATTCTGCTCCAGTGTCAAACGTCATCCAAATTACTGTGCAATTCTCTAGCCCCTGAGTAGCACCAAGGACACATTTAGTGCGATCATTGTTCAAAATTGGTTGTGGTGAACTGTTTCTATGATCATCATCTTTTTCAAATCAAAATTGGGAGTAAACTGGGACAAATCCTTGAACTAAACCTGGATTAGATCTTGACAAAGCCAGAACAGAATCAAACTAAATCAACAGCAACACTAATGGGATCAAACCAGGACTAAATCTGTGTCTAAGTTTCCCTTTTTTTTTTATCAGTTTCCTTGGTCAACTCGTCTCACAAGCTTTATTAATATGAACTTACCTTGGGCAGCCTGTCTCTTAACTGACTGGCCTAGCGTGCCTGATAGTTGTCCCGGGTTGGTCCTGGTTTGAGTCCAGTTTAGTCTAGGTGAGTTGTATGTTGAATTGTACCCTTTATGAAACTAAGTTAGTTAATCTACTGCATATATGTATAAATTAATTTCATTATATACCTCTGGTGAGTAGGAGTGACTGCCACAACTATTTCAGGATTTTATCTTACATAGACCTTCCTAAAAGTGATTCTGAATGATTTTTGAACCAGTTCTGTAGCCTACAAATTATGTTCATGGCAAGCAGGTAAGGAAGTAATTATTATTTCTTTACAAATCCACATATAGACACTATAGGACATGGTGAACAAGAAAAAAATACTTAAAATATGATTTCATAGTAAACTTCTGTGAGCAAATGAGGATTATATTGATATTACATACAAAAAAAATGTATGCCACTTCAGGAAGATCAGTAAAATGACATTAAAAAAGCCCGACATTTGGTCTCACTCCATTCACATTTCATTTTATTATGATATAAAATGCTAATTTTTAAACTTAGTACATCACACTGTGTGACACAGCAGGCCAGCGAGAATGTCCTCCATCTCCCGGGCACAGCAGAATGGGACGCTTGTACTGAGACTTTCAAGCCAGTATTCTAAATCCCAGTTTAGTCCTGATGTAGTCCAAGTTTAGATCTGATGGATTTTGACTACTATGATTAAAAAGAAAATAGAGAATGGTCTATAGTTCTGATATTTAGACCATTCTGCTGTCGGACTTCTTTCACCTACGCTTATTTTTCGCACTCTACTGTTGACCAATTTTCTCTTTTTTCTATATTATTAGACCTACATTTGAAATATGATATGGTTTAGTTGTGCTCATCAGTGAAAGCTAAAGGACCTGGTCTTGGTCCAGTTGTGTACATGTGCATATGAGCAGCTCTTGACTGCAGAGGCTGGCAGCTCATTGGACAGGACTGCGGGGTCTTTGTCCTCCACAGATGGGGGTATAATTGTTCTTTGTTCAAACCTCTGCATCTCTTTGAAGTCTCTCATTCAATTTACATCCTTACAGATTCTCCCTCCCCTTTCGCTTCTCTATGGCATCCACCCGCGCTATTGGTGTCAAACCCCTGCGTAGTAATTACAGGGCAGCGTATAGAGATATAAGGGGAAGAGGCTACTTACACTGATCATGAAGACTTACTGAAACTTTGGAGACCTACACTTTCTCAACGTTAGATTAAATTAATGATTTATACAGTGAAGGGCAAGAAAAATAGTCAGCAATAATTCAACCAAGTATAATTATTCAGCTTCCTCCCACTATCACTGTCACATTGATCTTTTGCACACTGAAGAAAATGAATATTCTGAAAAAAAAAGACTTGAATTCCGGTCATCTTCATTTGAGTTGTTTCGAATTAGCTAAAAGCAATTCAGCAACAAATTTTTACAAGAAGGGCGTGCATCTGTTTGTCTCCAGGGAGATAGCGTTGTTTTTCCTGAAATGTTTCATAGTAAAGCATTAAACATCTTCTGCTATGGAGTCAAGCAGCAAGTTAGAGTTAGAGTTAGAGTAAATCTGTGCAGCAACCTCCTTGATAATAAAAGACATGAATAAATAAAAGATACATTTATGCTATACTGTGGAACATTCCAGGAAAAGTAAACACATCTCCATGGAAACCAGTAAGCAATGGACAGTCCACAAGAAAAGTTACATAGTGCACCTTTCATTACTTGATGGCATTATTTAGGTCCCGCTTACATGTACACGAGTATTTTTAAAAACCCTTTGTTTGTACTCATCTTTTACACGCAAACAGTGAATTCGCCTCTGAAAACGACTCTTTCTAAAAAATCCAGCTAAAGTGGAGATTCTGGAAAACGACGGCTTTGCTTTTGTGTGTAAAGTGAGATAAACAGAGTTTTAGGAGCAGACACGCCAAAACCTTTTGCTCTGATGATGATCATGGAGCATCAGAGCAGCAGTCACATTTCTTCTTGTGCAAACACTTTTCATGTGTTTGCATTCGCACACACAGCTGATGTAGCATTTCAATGACCAGAGACGAATGAGCTCAGAGGTCAGCAATTTTGCCACTTCTTTAACATATCAGTGGAGAGGCAACCCCACTCAGTATTTTTGAGTAATACTTACAACTCAAAATGAAATATGAAATGAAATAAATGCTACAGGTTTGAATCTAATACAGGTGCTGCCCAGAGGCTTGGCGTAGTTATGACGGTGCTCCATGGCGTATTTATATGGGCTGATGTAAACGAAAACTTTTTTGAAAACGATGCTATGTGCACGATGTCATTTTGGAAAACGGAGGGAGGGAACTATTCGTTTCTCAGCATACCTGGCTATTTTACTTGTTTTAAAACATTTGACATATTTTAATACACTGCTTGAAATTCATAAGCAATGGAAGAAAATTGCACAAACTCTATTGTGCATTGAATGTTTTTTAATTATTATTTTTTCATGTTGAATTGTCTTGGAAGCAATTGGAAATATTATAAAAGTTCATTGTTAAAAGTTAATATTCTATACCATATTACATGCAGTTAAAGCTAATCTAGTCAAAACTATTCGGATCCAGTTTAATCCTCTGAATACAAGGCTAGAACAAGGATTTTTTACAGTGCTCCAGCAACAGTGGTCATAGTTGGTTAATGCAAAAAAACAAATGAAATGTTGATTTATTTTATGTATTATTCAAGTGTGCCTGTGTGTATTGAATAACTGAGCTAACCCAGATACTAGTAATGAAGCCCACTTAAGTTAGTCTAAGATATTATGTGGCGTTTGAGACTCTGTTGCTTCTCAGTGCCAAACCTCCCCAAGGAGAGGCCTGTTTATGCATGAAAAGCACTGGCAGCTCACTCAGAGTCTGAGCGAGGCAGAGAGACAGGGAGCTGCCTCCAAGAAAACACATTTGTTCTATTTTGTTGTTGTATGTGCAGAAAAAAACAATACAGAAAAGCTACAGAAAAACAACATCTTTTAAAGGTGCTTTATGTAACTTTTCTTATGGAGGGTTTTTATTATTACTTTGATAGGAATGTTGTCACAGAATAGCATAAAACTGATATAACGAGCTGTTTTGTTTGTTTTTTTTAATTACAGGCATTTTTTTTTTTTAAATAGCCACAACGATACCTGCATTGTTACTGTAAGCTGAGTCATCTCTCCAGAGATCTGACCTATAATTTATTTGGCATAATGGGATCACCTGTTTGTCTCCATTGACAAAGTTATGTTTTACAAAGATTAGATTGTCTGTAAGATTGACAGACAAGCAGGTGGCTGACAGCCAGGCTGGCACCACCTAGTGCCTCCACTCAATTTCATTTCTCTCCAGCGACTTCGACGGTCATGAATAAGAATAAACTAGACGGTTTGCAACAACTCTAGAAGTTGTAGATGGCACTATGACCAATCAGCGAAGAGCTGTGAAGCCATAATGTCAAACTCAATCGCCTGTCTGGGTCCCTTTTGTGGAACAGCACAACAGTAAACAAAACGGTCAAGATGGACATAGACAAAGCCATACATTCTGTGTTGGCAACGATTCTCAAGATCGAGGATTTAAAGCCAGAACAAAGAGAATGTTTGGTGAATTTTATCAAGGGGAAAGATGTTATTGCCCTTCTTCCTACGGGATTTGGCGCATTACATAAGTCACGACCAAATAGCAGTGATTGGTTAAATGAAAAGAAGTATCCACCTACCGTCAAGCGAACGAATCCTAAAGCTGCGAGGTCAGACAGTTTTCATGAAGTAAAACCGGCTGATGAATCAGGCTAGGTGGCACGTATTCTCAGAAAAAAAGTTGCACAGTACACTTTAAATAGTTTAAATAGCATGATTTAATAAGTGTGTTTATCTATATTTGAGTAGTCAAGGGGAAATAAAGAGTTAGTATTTTAAACTTTAAATGAGAGATTCAAGCATTCAAATGTAGTTTAATTATAAAAACGTACACCAGAAAAGTGGAAACACATTTAAATTATGAATCATACATTTACAGAATAAAGCAGAAGAAAATGGATGGATTAAAAACCTACTGACGCGTTTAAATAATCTTTATACATTCAGTTTTATCTGTATATTTTATGCATATGTTTTGTAAAAGCGTATTGCGTTTATCCTCAATCACTTGTGCTTATCTTTATCTTCTTTAAACACTTTGAGTGGTTGTGTTTGGTATGAAATGTATAAATAAGAATATCTTGCCCTGACTTTTTGCACTTGAACTACAATAAAACAAAAACAAAAATAATCCTACTCTGTTGGCAGATGAAATTATATGCATTATATTACATTCTTAATCCAAACGTTGTCTTTTCCAATGAAGATGTCAGGGTCGTCTTAACCTGTTGCTTGCTTGTTGCCATGGGCTACCTGTTGCTAACCGCATGTTTTCTTTGTCGACTTTACTGTAGATAAAGAACGCGGCGGCCAATGTGCTGAGGGAGACGTGGCTCATCTACAAACACACCAAACTGATGAAGAAGATCGACCACTCCAGAGTCCGAAAGCATCAGCGCAAGTTCCTGCAGGCCATCCATCAGTGAGTGCATAATGAAACCTTAGAAATCTCCGTTCTGTCCACCCACGTCTCAGATCAATATGCATAATCACCGAGTCTCCACACAAGAGCGCACACATCGGGTTTACATGTCTTACTGGGAGCTTACATTGACTTACATTCATTTCCTGTATTCTGATCCTATCCGTAAAGGACCTGTATTACATTATTTTCTGATTTATGTTGTAATGAATGAATGTATGAATGAAACAAAACACAACTCAGGTATGTTTCTGGTGAAGTAGCACTATTCTAACATGTCTTAAAGCTCACAAGAATCAATTTTGCATAATGTAGGACCTTAAAAAGTGCTCTTCCTGATTTTTTAAAGCTCTTAAAAACAACTAGTTTGTTTTAAATTGTTTCTAGTGATGCAAAGTTATTCCTCATTTAATCCTTCCCGACCAATGGGGAATATGTTTTATATAACCACGCATAACTTTCCAACCAGAAAAGATAGAACCTTACTTTTTTCCTTTGAAAGATAAGACTTATGACATTATCCTACGTCACACGCAAGCTGCATGTTGACATCAGGAAACGAGTGTTTTCTGCCAAACACATGCACTCCATCCATTTTGATTGACCCAAACTTTGCCAAAGAGTGTAGTGAGTCAAGATTGTCGACTGCTCTGAGCGTCTATTCTTCTAACAATTGAAAAAGCTGCTTTAAGTGCAGTTATTTCTCAAACAAAGGGGAAATTACGCATCTTGGTCCCTTGTTATTTTTATTTAAGAGATTTATTTCACTCAAAATGTACAAATGCAAATGTAATAAACACCATGGAATTGCAGGAAGTGATGTGGCTCTGTGCCCTGGACCTGACACGAGCTGTTTCCACGGTTGGCACCAGTAAAGTAACAGGGCGCTTGTGCTTTATTTTAGTTTTGAGGCAATAAGGATGTTTTTAGTTTACTTACAGACTTGATATTTTTGCACTTTTGTAGCTAAGGCCCTAAATTAAGCACTTTTAATGTCCAGAAAGTATACGTGTTTGCTGTGCGTTTTGTATGAAAGAGTGTAAATTTTAATTTCCATTTTCTTTTTTTATTTGTATTTCTGGTCCTATAGCTTTTATTACAACATACAGATTGTGAAATAACATGAACAGAACAGAATAACAAAAAAAAAAAGAATGTATAACACTTATAAGTGGTAAAAGAGGGAGTTTTAACAGCAAAATTTAGAAAAAAAAAAATCCAGGCAAGGACAGATGTACTAAAAATGCCTTTAGATCTGGAAGGGTTAACTTTTGCATTCCGAGCATCCTAATTATTCACTCCAATTAGTTTTTCACAACTGTGGAGTTTTGCCATCACAGTAAAACTAACAACAACAATATCCTGATTATCGGATAATAAAGCGCTTTATCATTAGATGCAGACACATATAGGCACATATTTTGACCTCAAGAGCTCCTTGTACAATATATCTGTAATTAGGCAAGACAGATTTTGCTCAGATACATGGAAAATATAAATATGGGGCTTTAAATGTGCACTCTATAGCTTTTCTGGAGGAGGGTCAACCATCTGTCTACATGGAGACATTTCTAACTTATGCTAACTTTAGTATTTTGCAGTTGATATCAGGAAGCTTTTATAGCCTTTCATTTGACTAAAAATTAAGTGGTGCTTGAATTTGGATTGTCGCTTTGATCTTGAACAGGTCACGCCAAGCTTAAAAACATTTGAATAATGCATCTTGTTAAGCCGGAGTAAGAAGACCCTGTACTCTTTTAATTGTGGCATCCAGGCACATTCAGGGCCCTTTTCTTCAAAAACAGGAACAGGAAGTGGGAGCTATCACAATGAGGAAAAGGTCAATCATTAGCATATTGTCGAATGTATTGAGAGGCAGTTTATTTATAAAATTCAGCTCTTTGCCCTGCCAGCGTGCGTTCATGCATTATAGATGTTTTAAAATTAGATCTGTATCAGAGGATTATGGCTTTCGGGATGCCTGGTGTGCAATACAAAATGCCAAGTTTGGGACAATACTGGGATGCATGGAGCAGTAAACAGTTCGTGCTTCTGTCCCAAGAAGTATTTCATAACATGGTAACAAACCTAAAGGTGCACTAAGTAACTTTTCTGGTGGAAGGTCAGTCACCTGCGTGGAGATATTATTGCTTTACCTGGTATGTCACACAGTGTGGCATTAATCTCTTCCATTTATTGAATTACATGTATTGCTCACCATGAAAATCATGCATTTTTAGTCTGAAAGGGGCGTCTCTCCACAAATCTAACCTGTAACTTGGACTGGTGGCATCACCTTCTTGTCTTTTTAGAGATAAATGAGTTTAATTTTACACTGGTGAACATAAAAAATTTCAATGCACTGAATAATAAAAATAAGGGCTGTGATTGGTCATCTCTACCAACGCTCTACATATGTTTTGGGTATGCTGCATTCATTTTCATTTTGGGTGTAACAATATCCAAGTCTCATGATACAATATCATCACGGTATGAACCTCACGGTAAAATATGTATTATGTTATTTTGTGGGGGCTAACAAAACTGTTAATATGATACTTTTTCCTCTTAAAATGCCTTGACAAAACTTAATCCAAAGAACTAAGACTTAAAAGTGTTTAGAACTGTTATTTCTTCATGAAGTCTGCACTGAAATGGAGCAAAGGATCATGGTCTATGCTGTTCTCTCTGTCTTTTTTTTTTTTAGCTATTGCTGCACCATAACTCTTAATTTAAACAAAGAGACTTGTAATTCAATATATTGTGATGGTCCATGTTATTATTGTGAGAACTGTGACGATACGATATCACAATAGTTCAGTTATTGTTACATCCCTAATACACAAACACCATTTTTAAATCCTAGCCTCCTGGCGTTGTGGAGGTGAATTACTTCAAGGCGCATAGATCCATAAATCAAAAACGACGGCGACAAGGTGACGGCGGCAGTGTGCGTTGAGTCCATACAGAACTATAATTCGGCCTTAAGTTTCACAGTTAAACTTAATTTCACTGTCCACTTTTTATATGAATTCAAATAGCACAGTATTAAGAAGAGGAATATTAACTACTAACCTAAATACAGGATAGGATTTTTAACAACAGAGTTACAAATAACATATAACTTTGATAGTACAGAAGTAATCGTTTGAAATAAAAGTATTCATTTATTAGCCAAATTATCTTTACTTTAAGTTTTTCCATAATTAATCAGCCGTAAATGAACCAGAACTACTCAAATCTACATTTCCAATTCATTGTATGTATATATCCTGTATATATAGGTTAGATTCTTTACAGTGCAGGTAGGACGAATGAGGCAAGGTGACCGTTCCACATGCTGTTGTAGACCCGGGGGGATTAGCTCTCTGAACCGGTCACTCTGCTTTCTTTTTTTTTCTTTCTTTCTTTTTCAAATGTGTGCCTGTGCCTCTCATGTGTGTCTCTCTAAATGCAGACTACGCAGCGTGAAAATGGAGCAGCGCAAACTCAGCGATCAAGCCAACACACTAGTGGATCTATCAAAGGTAAAGAGTCGTGCCATCACGTGTCGCTGAAATGTACGGACAGGATGTGACACGCTTTGGTCCAGTGCCCAACTCCGATGTATCGTGGTTGTTTTGCCACGCCGACTGTCCGGCATTGTGTCTCCTAGCAACGGGAAGAAGTGATAAAACAGGGATGATTGTGAGAGATAGAGAGGGAGAGAGAAAGAGAGAGGGATGAGAGGCGGTAGGGAGAGAGCTGGAAGAGATTAGAGGGAAAGAGAGAGAATGGGGGGACAGAGAGTGTGAGAGAGAGGAGGAACAGTAGAGAAAAAGTGATAGAGAAGAGAGAAACAGGGAGGTAGGGACAGAGAGAGGATTGAGAGAAAGTAGAGAAATGGAAGAGGTAGGAGAGAGAGAATGGAATTAAAACAAATAGAGATGGAGAGAGAGAAAGAGAGGCAGTAGGGAGAGAGCTGGAAGAGAGGAGAAATAGAGGAGAGGGAATGAGAGAGAATGGGAGGGGCAGAGAGTGGGAGAGAGAGAGGAGGAGCAGTAGAGAAAGAGAGATAGAGGAGAGAGTAGAGAAATGGAAGAGGGAGGAGAGAGAGAGAGAATGGAAGCAAAGCAAATAGAGATGGAGAGAGAGGAGAGAGAGAAGCAGGGAGGAGAAAGAATAAGAGAAAAGCTAGGTGGAGAAGTGGAGGAAGAGTGGGAAGTAGAGAGAAGAGAGGGGCAGGAGAGATTGAGGAAGGCAGAGACAAGAGAGAAAGGAGGAGAGGGGTGTGAGAAAGAGACTCAGCGGTGAAAGAGGTGAGAGAGAGAAAGATAGAAGGATGGAGAAAGGAGAGAAAATGAGAAAGAGAAGGGAAGGTGAAGTAAAAGCGAGAGGGGAACGAGAGAGAGTCTTTGACTTTAGGCCCACATTTCTCCATCACAAACACTGAAGCAATGGACCTAATAGAGAGAATGAGAGGAGAGACAGAACAGGGAGGAGCGAGAGAGGTGTAAAAAAAAGAGAGAGTGAGTGAGATGGAGCTAAAAGAGAGGGAGGAGGAGAGAGAAAGAGAGGGAGGAAAGGGTGGGGAAGAATCATGCTTTTCTGTGGACACATGTGGGCGTTGTAGTGGGAATGGGAGCACACATGGTTTTTTATGTTTGAGAGGGACAAAAAAAACACAGGTGTCCTTTGTCTTTTCAGTCAGAGATGCCCTAAGCAACAAACATTTTGGTAGTGTTATTATCTCTTCTCAATGACTGGCTCTGAATTGGCCACTTGTGCGTTCACCATGGTTACGGAGGTCGGGACGTGCAATCTGTGCGTTTCATATTGTTAGGATGTCCACAAAGAGAATCCCTGCAGCCCCAGTGTCTTAGTCACCTTCCATCACACTCATGCTATGCCCTCTTGTGCTGTCTATTACCTAACCCCGACCCCCTCCCTCCCCCTCTACCGCCCCTCTCCCTCTCATCAGAATCACCACAGTAACAAACTCGGCTCGGCTCATTTATGGCTATGAAAAAGACAGTTTGCAGAGTCCACAGGTGGTCTGAAATGAGGAGCTGGGGTTATGGAAGTAGATAAGGAGTGGTCAAAGTGCAGCTAAGAGTTAAACAGGTGCAGGAAAACTATTTATACACTCAACTTGTAGCAACATTAAACGCCGTACTATACTCAAAGGAAAGAAAATCACAGAAGGTATTGAACACTATTGAATTGTGACACATTTACCGAACTATTCAGTACTGTTCTTTTTAAAGGCAATACAGTAAAGTGTATTTACCTTGTTGACATGTTTCGGCTGCTAGCTGCAAGCCGTCTTCAGAACTGTCACCAGTGTTGGTGGTGACGTGTCGTAGATCAGCTGTTGTTACATCCTGTAGGCGTGGTCAGCCTGATGGACCTGGCAGGTCACTCAGACTGACCACGTCTCCCGTCGCCCGATGTTTTCTGGAGGAGGGTGTCGCAGGTGTCAAAGAGGAGCAATCCCTCTCCCTCCATCACGGTTAATGCTGTCTGTGCATCGTTTCCTGGGTCAAATACAAGTACACAAATACACTTTACTTTATTGTCTTTAAAAATAACCCAAGAAGTTAAAGTACATAAGAAGATGAAATGAACATCTTTGGCTTATCAGTACTGCATTTAGTACAGTTGCATCCCTAGCATATAGTGACTCGTATACTTCTTATTTTAACATCATGTTGTTGATGATGAGACCACATAAATGACTCAAATATTATAAATCGATTTGATTTATTTAATTCTTGTTTGCAGTAAAAAAAAAAAAAGTATTTCAGCAAAATGTACAGCCTAAAAATCTGCAAAAGACATGAGCATTTCAAATTCATATTATACAATGTAACTGCTGTATAACAAACAGGTGGCGACTTCTCCATTCACTTACACTACCAGTCAAAAGTTTTAGAACATCCTAATTTTCCCAGTTATTTATTGCAATTCAAGTCGTGCAAGTCCAATGAAGAGCTTGAAATGGTACAAAGGTAAGAGCTGAACAGCCAGAGGTTAAAAAAGATAAAATATAACAAAACACAAGTTCAAGCTCTGCCAAAACTAGGAAAAAGAAAAAAAAAGGTGAGCTTGAAAACAGAGAGTGGCCAGCACAGTCTCCAGACTTAAACCCTATCGAGTTGGTTTTGGGATGAACTGGACAGAAGAGTGAAAGCCAAGAAACCTACAAGTGCCACACATTTATGGAAACTTCTGCAACAGACTTGGAAAGAACTTTTCTGAAGAACGAGGCACGAACGTGTTCAGCTGTTACATCTGCCAAAGGTGGACACTTTCATCAATCAAAAGTTTAGAATTTTGGTCAGCAGTAAACTGTATAAAAGTAAAAAGCTGGAAAAATGTGGTGTTCTAAAACTTTTGACCGGTAGTGTATTCAATAAGCAAACGTTGCTTGCTCTGTGATTGCATTGTAGCTGGCATACAAGATTGCACATTTAAATAGGTCTATGGGCATCCCTCCACTGTAAAAGTTTTCCTTGATTGCACAAATGCTGACTCCTGTGTCCCTCTTGTCACAGATGCAGAGTGTGATGTACGAGCTCATGTCTGAACTGAACGACCGCAGCGAGGACTTGGAGCGGCAGATGTTGTCTTTGGAGCAGCGCGTGGAGCAGCTGACCGCCGGATTCAACGCCCTGCCCGCCCACCTCTCCGCCACCCTCAGTGCCCAACACGCCGCTCTGGTGCACCTCCTCCGCGAACGGGACTCCAGGGACCACCACCGGAGCGGCCCGGGCGGGGGGAGCGACGTGGGGTTAGTGGGTGCGGTGGTGCCTCTGTCCCCCGCATCTCCTTTAACTCACGTCCCGTCTTCAGCCTCTCCGATCCAGGTTACCTCGCCAGCACAAACGCCCGCCCCGGTGCTCACTTTAGCGCTCGAGTCGCCCCTCTCGCCCCCGCCAATGAGCCCCGAAGGCAGCCTAGAGGCCAGTCAGACTCCAAACACTTGCACAACCAGCTGCTGAGTGGGACACATATGTGGAGAGCGAACAGGGACCGCTTTGTCCCATCTCCTCGGACAAAAAAAAAGAGACAGCACTAGAGTAATCCACACGGTGGTCCTGTGATATCACGCTTCCAGGCACAAAGGGCAGAGGAGGGGGGCAAAACGAAGAGGACTAAGACAGAGAGGCGATATGAAAAATGGGACACAAATGAGAGATTTTGGGTCGATTTCCATGGAGAAAAATGGAGATGAAACTGCAACTAAAAGGTGAGGGGGAGGCAGCATGTCAGCCAGAGGAATAGCCAGAGGACAAGAAAGGAGGAGCAAAAAGGGAATAATTATATGAACTCCAAATGGATCCGCTCATATTACTGAAAAGGCCTTTACTCTTTCTATTGCTCTCTCTCTCTTCCCTCTCTCACAACCTCTCCTTTCTTTCACGGGGAAAGAATGACCATGACTTTTTATCCTGATGATGTATTTTATAAGTGAATGCGAAATTATGTGTTACCGAACATCCCTTTAACAGATGGTCCGTCCAATGCGACCGCTTAACAATGCTAGTGGCTTGCACAACACACGCACACACGGCAATCACACAGGCACTGCATGCACAAAAGAGTTATACAATGTGTTAGATCAGTGGCTCTCAAACCAAGCACCACCTATGAGAAGATATGGGTTCCTGAGTACCACCAGATCTAAACCAGGTCTAAACTAGGGCTAAACCAGTTCTGTAATGTGACTATTCTTTCTTTAAATTGTGACTATGAGATAACTATAGAAAACCTACCCAATTTCTTACCAAAAGCAGGTCAAAAAATGGAAAAAAAATCAAATTAACCAAAGTATTTGAGGTGTAAAGACCTTGCGTACCACCAGAAGAGGCCTGAGTACCATTAGATCTAAACCGGGTCTAAACTAGGTCCACCAGGTCTGAAATATGACTCCAGAAAAACTTACCCAAAGGAAGACAAAGAAGTAATCTGGCTCTAAATAAGCAAATATTTGAACTGTAGATTGCTTTGCGTACAACCAGAAGGGGCTCAGACACCAAGGGCTCAAAAGCTAAACCATGCCTGAATATGAAATAGAATTACACATTAGATAAATCAGGTCTATAAATAGTACTATCACAGCTCTAAATTATGAGTACAACATAGCTACTGAAAATCTAGTCAAGTACTTACTCAAAAGATGAGGAAAGAAGAAGATAAAATTGGCTCTAAATTAAAGTATTTGAACTGTAGGGAAGCTGTGAAGGGACTTGAGTACCACCAGATCTAAACCAGGACTATAAAAGCTATTCCAGTTTTAAACTAGATCTGAAAACCAGTTCTGAAATGTGACTACAACTTCTCTACAAGAAAATATATCAAAGAACTTAAGAAAAAAAGAAGAAAGGCCTGACCAAGCTAGACTCAAGATCTGGAGGTGAGTCCCCAGGCGAATGGGTCAAATAAATAATAATAATAAACTGTACCTTAAACAGAAGAGGCTTGTACTCAGATCTATACCAGTTCAGTAAGAGACGATACCAGGTCTAAAATATGACTACAACATAACTACTGAAAATCTAGTCAAGTGCTTACCCAAAAAAAGGAAAAAAGAAGTGGATAAAATTGGCTCTAAATTAAAGTATTTGAACTGTAGTGGAGCTGTGAAGGGAACTTGAGTACCACCAGATCTAAACCAGGTCTATAAAAAACTAAAGTAGATCTGAAAACCAGTTCTGAAATATGACTACAACATCGCTACAAGAAAATACAACAAAGAACTTAACAAAAAAGAAGAAACACAAGATAGTCCAAACTCTGGCTGGAGATGAGTTCCCAAGCGAATGGGTCAAATAAATAATAATAATAAACTGTACCTTAACCAGAAGAGGCTTGTGCTCTACCAGATCTAAGACAGTTAAGTAAGAGACTATACCAGGTCTAAAATATGACTACAGCATAACTACTGAAAATCTAGTCAAGTACTTATCCAAAAGAAGTGGATAAAATTGGCTCTGAATTAAAGTATTTGAACTGTAGTGGAGCTGTGAAGGGACTTGAATACCACCAGATCTAAACCAGGTCTATAAAAAACTAAACTAGATCTGAAAACCAGTTCTGAAATATGACTACAACATCGCTACAAGAAAATATAACAAAGAACTTAACAAAAAAAAGAAGAAACACAAGATAGTCCTGACCAAGCCAAACTCAAGATCTGGAGATGAGTCCCCAGGCGAATTGGGTGAAATAAATAATAATAAAATAATAATAAACTGTACCTTAACCAGAAGAGGCTTGTGCACAGGCAGATCTAAGCCAGTTCAGTAAGAGACTATACCAGGTCTAAAATATGACTACAACATAACTAGTGAAAGTCTAGTCAAGTTCAAAGTCCAAAAGAGGAGGAAATAAGTGGCTAAAATTGGCTCTAAATTGAAGTATTTGAACTGTAGAGGACTTAAGTACCACCAGATCTAAACCAGGTCTATAAAAAAATTAAATTGATCTGAAAACCAGGTCTGAAATATGACTACAACATTGCTACAGAAAATATAACAAAGAATTTAAGAAAAGAAGAAGAAACACAAGATAGTCCAGACCAGAGTCCCCAGGCGATTGGGTGAAATAAATAATAATAAAATAATAATAAACTGTACCTTAAAGAGAAGATTCTTTTACTCTTCCAGATCTAAGTCAGGTCTAATATATGACTACAACAAAGCTGCAGAAAATTTAACCAAAACGTGGCTCAAAGAAGGACAAAAAAGTGTATCAAATTGAAATAAATTCTGTAGAGGACCTTGCGTACCTTCAGACAGGGCTCGCCTACCACCGTTTGAGAACCACTGTTTTGGATATAGCCCCTTTTACATGATGCACTAGCCTTTAAGCTAACACTGAAGCCTAAACTGCCAAGCACTCAATGCACTGTCACTGTCTCGAGCACTGCCAGTCACTGTAGACACCGTCAAACACACCATGTTCTGTCATGAATGTGAGCTAATGCTGTCGTCAAGGTTTAACCAAGCATTTCTGAGACACTTCAACTACTCTTTGCAGACTAATGTTCACTGAAGCTTTAAAATAACAGACCACGCTCAAATAAGATCAATTTATACTGTAAAATCTGAATATTTTAAAGGGCCGCTGTGTTACTTTTCTGCTGGAGCATCTGGTACCTGCGTGTCTCCAGTGAGAGGTTATTGCCTTGCGCAGAATGTTCTACAGTATGGCAGAACATATCTATTATACATGTTTTTATTACTTGTTATTTCTCTGACAAATGCTTTAATCTGTTTGACTCCATGGAGATGCATAAGGTAAATGCCATATGTCAAAGCAGGTGACCCTCCACCAGAAAAGTTACATAAAGAAACTCTAAAAACAGATGAGAATACTGTTAGTACAAAAAGATTTTATTTGTTTTTACTGAAAAATATCTTTTGCTGAACAGGTCTGGCTTTGAAGACGCGTTCATATTTGAGTGTGGGTTGGAGCTTTGCACATTCTGTACCTATGCTCCAGAGTCACTGAGTCAAATGTTGGTATAAAAAACACTGCAATCGCTGACAGATGACTGAACAATCAAAAGTTTATTTATTAATAATAAATGATGTTTTAGAAATAGAAGGGGCCTTGTGGCGTGTTTGCAGAAGATGCTCTGTTGCTATTTTTTACAATAGAGGTTCATGTTGGCTGTTCATGTCTGTCTCAGTTTGTTTGGGTTAAATTAATGTTTAAGTTAAGGTTGCGTTCATGACATTTGAATAGAATCTGTGTATCATTCGTTCATTCGTTTTTCAATATAAAACCAAAAATAAGAAAACAAAAAAACAACTATTTTCTTCATTATTTGTCTCCAAAACCAAAATGAGAAAACAGATTAAAGATTCTTTTTTCATATTTCGATTTTGTGTTTAAATGATTAATAAAAAAAACAGATAAAGGCCATTTCCCGTTTTTGTGACTTAAACCGTGATGGCGGACTGAACCAGGACTGAACCAGGACTAAAACAGGACCAAAACAGGACTAAAACAGTACTGAACAGGTCTAAACCAGCTCTAAATCAGAATTGAACCAGGACTAAACCAGGTCTCAGTCCTGGTCCCAGTCTTAGTCCTGGTCTGGTCCCGGTCTCAGTCCTGGTCTCAGTCCTGGTCTCAGTCCCGGTCTGATCACAGTCTGGTCCTGGTTACCTGATCATCACAGTCTATGCGGGTGCACCAGTCCCCACACTCCTTCTTTAGTCCTGGTTTAGGACTGAGATCGATTTAGTCCTGGTTCAGTGCTGGTTCAGTCCTGGTTCAGTCCGGCATCGCAGTTTAAGTCACGGAAATGGGAAACGGCCATTATCGGCCACACAAAACGAAAAATGAAAAAATGAATCGTTATCCGTTTTTTAATTTTGGGTTTGGAGACAAATAATGAAGAAAACAGATGTTTTTTCATTTTCTTATTTTTGGTTTTATATTGAAAAACTAATGAACGCAACCTGTTTCTTTGATTTTGTACACGTGACTCCAAAAGCTTTTTTGGTCAAAAAAAAAAAAAAAGGGAGATAACCTGTTCACACGTGCTCTTGAAAACTGCCACTGTTCTTCAAGTCTGCCATCTCAAATCAACTTCATGAATGTATTCTGTGTATAGAAATACACACTGTTACCGGCTCCATCTCTTAAGACTGCCACGCATTTACACAAGCCCACTCACACAACTCTACACACACACATACACATATACACACATACATACACACGCACACTACAACAACCAAAGTGCTCTATTTTAAATGGATTTCAATAAAAAGGCAGGGAACGCCGCTATCACTAGGGACACAGAGCAGGGGGCGGTGCAGAAATCCTGACAATATTTCAGAGGGAAAACTGTGAAACCTGGGACTGAGCATGGACAGTGGTCTCACCAATGGAACGACGTGGAGGAGGAAGGAGGAGGTCTACGGAGGAACCCAAGGCAACACAACTAAACCTTATAAAGGATAATGGCCATGAAGGGACAGCTGTCACAAAATAACTGAACACAGACTCTAAGATATCAGTGGTAGAAATTGTATGGGATGATCAAAGAAAAAAGCCTATATTGTTGCTATGGAGGCACTCTTATACTGTCCAATAGTGACACGCTGTGGCTGGAAAACTTATTTACGCTTGGAAAAAATGTACAGTATGCTACTAATGAAATTTAGCTTTGTAATGCTTAGTTTTTTTACCATTATGATTAAACGCAGTCATAGCTGATATCAAATATTACTAAACTAGTATTCTTCTCATGCGTCATTTGGATTATAATATATGTATTATGATATCTTAATTATGAACAAGGAAAGTGCCGTTTCAGGTTGAAATGATTTTGTAATTTTATTTTAACAGAGAGAATTAATAAAGTATATATCTATAACAATACAGAGCCTATGTGCGTTTGTTGTTATCGTCTTACTGCGATTGTATGTTTAAGATAACTATCCATACTCCAAGAACAATTAGATGCAAGTATTGTCAAATAACACTGACAAAAAGTTAAGAGAAGTAATGGTTCTAGGTGGTTTTCCCAAACCTTTTTTTCTGGGGACCCATATTTTAAAAGTCACAAACCTTCGCGATCCAAGTCTATACACATTATGTGTAAATCACAAAATAAAGGTGGGTTTGTTCATTATTGAACATTAATGAGGATATTTTATTGTTGACTGAGTGATCGTGTCGCTCTGAATTAGTATGACTCAAGTTTTAAACAATGAAAAACAGTCACTGAACCAGCAATAAAAGGATCCATAAGTCGCCTATTTGGACATTAAATGCACATTAATAAAATAAACATTTCTGATGAAATAGGTGGACCTGTCTGAGCTTTTGAAGTGCATTCCAGTCTGGGGTGCAGGAGGAGAGTGCAGCAGATCACAGGCAATATTCAGTCTGTTTCTGTGTTTCATCTTCATTTTTGTGAGCAAAGAAAATCCCAATTCACACATGTATGTAGTAGTGAAAGGAATAAGCATAGAAATACTGGTCCTACTGAGGACAGGATATTCTGATGAAACGCTGATCCAGAATGATGATAAGGTCACAGATCCATGTATACAACCATGTGTATGTAAATGACCTACATGCAGATCGTGACAAGGCGACCCAAAAAAACCTCTTGTGGGAAACATTGTTCTAGTTGATACAGTTGTAGTATTGGTTTATTTGCAAAGTAGTGTAGTATTGTAAACACCATAAGTACATTTATCACAGTATTATTGCTCATAATAATAAAAATACAACTGTCATTCTAGTTGCCCTTTAGCTGACATACAAGCAATAAGTTCAATAACAAAAAACAGGATAAAAATATTATACTAATATTTTAATTAGTATATTCGGTGGGTTCTGTAGTGAAGCTAAAACCGAGTAAATTTGCTCCAGGAGGAGTTAAATACTGTTATCATTGAATACAAGGCGAGCCTCATCTATTTTTAAAGTGCACTGGCTGTTTTTGCATTTGAACTTTACAGTTGTTCTAAAAAATGGATGCCTACTACTGCAACTACTACTTTTTTAAGCCCATAAATTCTATCTACTCTATCTAAGGCGATGGAGCTTTAAATATATATCTTGTGTACTCTTGATTATATAGCGGACTATATCAGATTATACTTACAGACTGATAATACGCTTATTCGTGGTCTCAAATGCCACCTGCTTGTATCTGTGTCGTCAAATGAAATGTCATGGTGGTTTAAACCTGCCTGGATACCACTGCACTGTTATATTCTCAGTGACAGGGCAGTGGAGTGTGCTTTTACCCTTTTATCTGTGCGTGTGTCAGGTTTTGTTCTAACTCTGTTTTCGTTGTGTATTAGCCGCCCTCCAGTCTCGGCACAGGGCTCTCACTGCCTGGCTGTTTCCTTGGTAACCGGGACAGCCCTCACACAGCAGCTGAGTGTTTATGCATGCCAGAGCAAAGCTGATCATCATCATTTCACTCTGAGGACATGGAAACCTCAAGCTACACTGTTACATACCCAGTGTTTTTCTTATATCTCAATCTCTACTCATCTCATGAACTATAGGAGGACATGTTTGGCATCTATATGGCTGCAGCTAACCATTATTTTAGTATTATCAAGTATCAAGATTATTTTTTGATTAATCGACTTGTCAAATTATTTTTTCTGTTGTGCATTAGGAGGTTATGAAACATTTTGTCCAGATAAATGTACAGTCTGGTATCTGAAAGATTCTAGCTACTGTTTCGGGCTTCTCAATTTGGAGTTAATTTGTTACCCCCTGTGTCTGGGTGGGGCACTACTGTTGTGTCTTCAGGCAAGACACTTCATCCTTGCGCATCACTGCAGATCTTTGCAGCGTTGACTGTGATGCATCCCATCCCATGCGATGTATCAGGCCATTGTAGTCAAGCGGGAGCTGAGTCAAAAGGCATAGCTCTCTATTTACCAGTCAATCTATGTTCCTCCCCTCACCTATGGTCATGAGCTCTGGGTATTGACTGAAAGGACAAGACTTGCAGATACAAGCAGTCAAAATGAGTTTTATCTGCAGGGTGGCTTCACCCTATCTCCCTTAGAGATAGGATGAAGAGCTTGGTCACACACGAGGGGCTCAGAGTAGAGCCACTACTCCTCCAACTCGAGAGGAGCCAGTTGAGGTGGCTCAGGCAGCTGTTCCGGATGTCTCCTAGGCGCGTCCCTCGGGAGGTGTTCTGGGCATGTCCCACCAGAAGAAGACCCACAGGAAGACTCAGAACACCCTGGAGAGACTATGTCTCTCGGCTGGCCTGGAAACGCCTTGGAGTCCCCCTGGAGGAACTGGAGGAAGTGTCCGGGGTGAAGAAAATCTGGGAGTCCCTGATTAGACTGCTTCCCCCACGACCTGGCCCTAGATAAGCGGAAGAAAACGGATGGATGGATGGACTTCATCCATGCTATCAGTGAATGTGGTTTGTGAATCATTGGTCAGAGAGGATGGTGGTGCTGATTGGCAGCCTTGCTTCCTACAGTTCATCCTCGGGCAGCTATGGTTACGGTAGAGCCCTACTATCAAATATGGAGTGAATAATTAATAATAGAATATAACAATAGAACATTTGGTTTCGTAGGTTTGGGTAAGCCCATTATTTACTGATTACAGTGTAATCAGTTCACCAGTGTTACTGATTTTCACCTGGTTTCTTTTTTTTTACTTTTATTGCCACAAATCAATTCACATCAACAGTGTCCTGAGATTGGGCCCTCACACAGTTTACATATTTACCTAAAATAAAATTAAATAAAAAATAAGGCATGTTAGGGCAGAAGTGTCTTATTTCAAAAAGTCAATAATTAGACCCCACTTCTTTTCAAAAATTGGCACCTTGAGCTGTGGTTGAGCCGTTAAAAGTTCTATTGTATAAACTTGTTTGATTATTGATATCCACTGATCAGTGGTCGGTGTCTCATGTTTCAGCCAGTAGATCGTGATCATTTCTCTTGCAGTTATCAGAAGAAGTTGCAACAGAAAGCACTGATCATGAGAGAGACCATCAGGAAATGTATCAAGCAAAAAGATGAGCGGGTCCAACGAGAGGTCAACAGCCAATACATTTTATAAAACTAAAAACGTTGTACATTGGGGCAGTTCCAGAATATGTGAGTTTGGTCACCCAGAAGCCCACAGTCACTAAACTACATTTTGAAAATAAAAGTTTTCAGCGGGGTTTTAAAGAAGTACCTAGTTTCACAAAGTCCGCAGTCTACTGTACCACTGTCTGATCCCAACTTTATGTTCTACTCCTCAGCTCCTCTTTTTGTTTGATTATGTTAATGTCTAAATCTTACAGAGGACTTGCACTTCAGCCTTTACTCTTCAGTTATTAATACCAGGTTAAGTGTTTCCTACATTTTAACTTTTTAAGGCTGCATGCATAA